CTCATTTCGAACTCTTGTTGCATTACCTTGACTAGTTGGTCTGTCTCTCCTGGTTGTGTGGATCCAAAAACGATATCATCTACATAAACTTGAGCAATTGTTATGTGTTTACCTGATCGTTTTATAAATAACGTTTTGTCCGATCCTCCTCTTTTGTAGTTGTTCTGAAGAAGATATTGAGTAAGTCTTTCATACCAGGCTCTTGGGGCCTGTTTTAAGCCATAGAGTGCTTTTTGTAATTTGTAGACATAGTCTGGATGATGTGGATCTTCAAACCCTTTTGGCTGGGCAACGTGTATGTCTTCTGAGAGATATCCATTTAAGAAGGCTGTTTTAACGTCCATCTGAAACAACTTGAATTTTAGGGCACAGGCAATCGATAGGAGTAGTCGTATTGACTCTAGCCTTGCAACAGGAGCAAAAGTTTCGTCGTAGTCAATTCCTTCAATTTGGGAGTAGCCTTGGGCTACAAGTCGCGCTTTGTTTCTAGCGATGTTGCCAGCTGCATCGGTTTTGTTGCGAAAGATCCATTTGGTACCTACAACATTGACATTGTCAGGTTTGGGAATTAGAGACCATACCTTATTTCGTTCGAACTGTCCCAGTTCTTCTTGCATGGCCTTGATCCAGTGTTCGTCTGTTAGAGCTTCTTTGACATTCTTCGGTTCGATCTGTGAAGTATAACAAGAATATCCCGCTAATTGAAGATAATCACGTTTCGGTTTACCTCTGGTTTTTATGCCGGAACTAGGATCTCCAATTACGTTTTGTATTGGATGAGCTTTCTGGATGCGAGTAGGAATATCAACGTTACCATGATCAGTGTCAGATTCAGACTCAGACTCAGTTTCTTGCTCTGGTTGAGTTGACATGGGAGATGGCATAGGAGACTCTGGATTAGGTTCAGGACAACTTGTGTCAGGTTCTGTCACTGGTTCAGGATGAGACGTTGTGATAATATCACTCGGTTGATCATCGATTACAACGTTTGTGGACTCCATAATGGTTTTGGTAACTTTGTTGTATAAACGATATGCCCTGCTGTTCGTTGAATAGCCGAGGAAGACGTCTTCATCGCTTTTTGTTTCAAACTTTGTGACCGGGTTTCGATCCTTCAAGTTAAAACAACGTGATCCGAAAACGTGAAAATATTTAATGTTTGGTTTCTTACCTTTCCATAATGTATACGGAGTTTGATTCGTGCCTGGACGTAGATAGACCCGATTGATGATGTGACATGCAGTATTCACAGCTTCTGCCCAAAATTTTTGGGTTAGTCCTTTGACATTGAGCAGAACTCGTCCCATTTCTTGAATTGTGCGGTTCTTTCGTTCAACAACTCCGTTTTGTTGAGGTGTTTTCGGAGCTGAGTATTCATGTGTGATTCCTGTTTGGTTGCAGAAGGTATCGAACAGATTGTTGTCGAATTCTCGTCCGTGATCACTTCGGATTCGAATGATGGGCTCATTTCTTTCTTTTTGGAGTTTTAATGCCAAAGTTTTAAAGGCTTCAAGGGTTTCAGACTTGTCCCTGAGAAAGGTAACCCAAGAAAAACGAGAATAATCATCTACGCAAACTAGTATGTATTTCTTACCTCCAACACTTTCTGTTTGAGTTGGACCAATGAGATCCATGTGGATCAGTTCCAAGCAGTGACTTGTGTTTATGGTGTGCTGCGCTGGATGAGAGGATTTGGTTTGCTTTCCTGCTTGACATGCACCACATATGGTTGGTTTGACTTTCAGCTTGGGTAATCCCCGAACACCTTCGGTTTTCACAAGTTTGTCAAGAAGTCTATAACTTAGATGTCCTAGCTTTTGGTGCCAAAGCTCAGTTTCATCTACATTGATCCTGCAACACAAAACATTGTTAGTAAGAATATAGCAATTGTCAGTTGACCTTGTACCTTCCATAACACATTGATTTGCTTTGTCTAGGACACTGCAACTATTTTTGTTGAAGCTCACGTTCCAGTTCTGGTCACACAGTTGACTTATACTTATAAGATTTGCATGAAGTCCTTTGACTAGTAGAACTTTCTCCAGTTTTGGCAGACCAACTACGTTTAGTGTGCCTATACCAGTGACTTGTCCTTTTATACCGTCGCCAAAGGTAACTTCACCTTTGCTTGTGTTTACGTTACTCAGAAATTTAGCATTTCCTATCATGTGACGTGAACACCCACTATCGAAGTACCATTTTTCTTCTCGACCTGTACTTTTAGAGTGGAAAGATACAAATGAGACATAATCTGTCTTTTTAACCCAGATTTGTCTTGTAAAGGGTTGAATGTTCTTGTTTTTGAACTTCTCGATTCTTTGATCCTTGTAGAAGAAGTAGCATTCTGGTCTGGTATGACCCCGTAACCTGCAATAATGACATACCGGGTTATAGGATTTATAATATGGCTTGAGTGATCTTACTGTACCAACGCGATGTGTCGTTGTGCTAGATTCTGGAATATGTCCTCGACCAGGACCTGACGCTTTGACAAACACTGTTTTATCCTTTGAGCTGTTTCCTGTGAATCCTAGACCAAATTTTGTAGATGTCTTTCTTCCAGACTCAAGGATCTCATCAAGAGTAGACGTGGTATCCATCATTTGGATTTGGCGTTTGTAGGTGTTCAGCTCCTGCTTCAGAGTCTGTACCTCTTGTTTCAGTCTTTCTTCTCGGGCCAATGCCTCTTTGAGAAGTAGATCCCTGTCAGCTATTTGAGTTTGATACACTTTCTTTGCGTTTGTTACAATCCCTATTTCACTAGTTAATCTACGATTTTCTTTTCTTAGTGCTGCCCATTTGGGATACAATTTATTAAACTCAATTTCAAAAGATGATTCACTTGACTCTAAATCTTCTGCAGAATTATACTCGCCTCCTTCTGAGTCAGCAACATCTTCATGACACGGTTTAGCAGCCATATGTGCAATAAAGGCAACAAAATTCCCAGAAATTTCGTCTGAGTCAGATCCTCCTGTTTCACCGTCCGAGTCATTATCACTCCAAGTAACTGCTGACATGGATTTCTTGCGTCGAAGATAGGTGGGGCACTCTGCTTGTACATGTCCGAAGCCCTCACATTCATAGCATCTGATCCCTTTACTGGTGGATTTCTCTTTGGACTGTCCTGGACGTGAACCAGAAGACTTGAAGGTTGATGAACCGGATTTAGAACTCGCTTTAGATGATGACGCCCCCTTTTGCATATTCTTGTTTCGTGAACCTTTTGACACCTGTTTCAAAAGTTTAGAAAATTGTTTAGTAAGAAATACAACGGGATCATCACCTATTTCATCTAAGTCAGGTGCACAATTATTTTCTTCAGCGGTAAAGGCTATTGTTTTTTGTTTTTTTTTTTTGTGTGATCTGTTAATATTTCCATCTCATAAGTTCTTAGATTCCCCATTAGTTGAGTTACAGTCTTTTTCTCCCAGTTGTCATGTTCCTGGATTGCTGTAACTTTCATCCGGAACGGAGGTGGCAGTGATCGTAGAATTTTTTTCACCAACTTTTCTTGAGTGAACGGTTCTCCGAGGACCATAGCTCGATTTGCTAGCTCTTGCACACGAGTGTGAAAGGCCACGATGGTTTCATCTTCGTTCATCCGGAGCTCCTCGAAGTCTGACTGTACCAGCTGCAGTTTAGATTGTTTTACTGACGATGTGCCTTCGTAGGTAGCCTCTAGTGCTTCCCATGCACCTTTAGCTGAATCATGGCCTGCAACAATAGGAAATTGACTTTCATGAATTAGCCCATAAATAATATCTAGTGCCTTATCGTTGTGTCCAGCACTTGTTTTCTCAGCTTAGGTCCATTCATTTTCAGGTTTCGTCACTCGAGTTTCATCCTCACTGGTACTTGCTTTGGTTGGATGTTCCCAGCCTGTTACAATGATACACCATACTGCTTCACCTTGTGCTTTGAGATGAGTGCGTGTGCGCACCTTCCAATATGCATAGTTGTCACCGACTAGCTGGGGAAGAGCTTTAGTGTGCTCCATTCTGTAACACTCAATAACCCGTGAGATCGAACAATTTAACAAAATCAGAAATAATAAAACTAACCGCTGAAGGATTGAGATCAAGGGGCACGGGGTAGCCAAATCGTCAGACTAATAACTTAAGTCTGGAAGCTCTGATACCAATTGAAAAAGCCCGTGTATCTTGAAATCAATTTAACACTAAGGATTCTACTTGATTTTATATTACGAGACAATTTCGCTGTTTAATTAAACCAATTTAATCAACATATAAATAACGAAATTGAAAGCGTAAATAAAGTAAAGACACAGTAGAATTGTTACACAGTTCGGAGCTCCTTCTCCTACGTCTGCGGGGCAACCCACGTCTGCCCAATCCACTAGATGTTCACCACAGAGTATTACAAGAGGTAACTACACGGCTCACAGCCTTTACCACTACAACTCTTCTAAAACACCTACTCAGGACTGAACCGTGCATGCCATAACCATCTTTGGTGTAGCACTTCAGCTGTCACAGGTACTGGTTTGTAGTACAGGTTTAAATCACAATTAATATAATCAATATTAAAGCAGTAATGTAGGAAGCTTGCAAATGAGATTAGAATTTCAGAATTGGCAACTTCCTCTTTCGATTTCCCTTCCTTATATACTGTACGTGAATTCCATTCCACCAAGCCTTGATTGTAGCTTCATATGTGGCTTGAATTCTTCTCAACCACTCATTCTTTAATTTGAAATCTTCAGACTTGCTTCTTTGTCCAATTCATTAATAATAAATCTCCACCACACATTTTAGCTTGGTCCAAAATACTAATTACAATTCATGCTAATTAACATGACATATTAATAAAATAAACTAATAAATTAGCCAATCTAATGTGTACTATTTTGTACGCTTACATAAAGTATGATCAATCGATATTATTTGATTGGAATTTTCAATTTTTGATTATTAACTAAATTAATTTTTGTAGGTCACGTCAGAATTGAAGAGAAAGATGAAAGGAGATGAACTAACCCAGTTTGGAGTTGAAAAGAAAGAGGTCCATCAAAGCCGGGAAGAAACTTGACAGGCAAACCACCTGCGCCTTCTACTGCATGGTTATGGCGGCAGCTCTGCTGATTCAACAATACCACAAGCGCAAGGAAGACGACGACGACCACCCTCGCTTCCCACCAAAACCTGCAATCTGGCTGCATTTTTGCTTTCAAGATTTACAGTTGCTGATATATATGGATAGGTGTGTGTACAGTGTATATATATATATATATATAAGAGCGCTCATATGCGGCGGGGTCTTACGGTGCGGCGGTGCGGTCAAATTCCAGAATACACCAATAGTGTTAACAATATGCACCAACAGTGTAATAAAAACACACCCCAATGAAATGTAATAAAACATCACAAAATACACCACAGACTCAAAAAAACACACCATATAACTCACCACCCCCAATGGTGTATTTCCGAACAGTGTATGGTGTTTTTACTCACATCTAATGGTGTGTGTTTGGTGATGCAGGGCTCTGTTTACTCTGTTTTGTGTGGTGTATTTCCTAACGTTGATGGTGCATATTTGGTGAACTATTGGTGTTGCCGCACTGTAAGAAATAACCGCACCGTAAGACACTGCCGCACCTGAACCCGCCTATATATATATATATATGTGTGTGTGTGTGTGTGTGTGTGTGTGGATGGAAAGAACATGAGTTATTATCCCATGGACCCACAATTGCAAGGTGGATCCTGGTCCTAAACAATGTATAAATTGTGTATTTTTAGTATTTGAATTGTAAATTTCTAGAATATAAATTGTGTTACTAAATCAAAACACATTGAATTTGTGAATACAATACAGGGCCATCAAATTCTAATATGTTAATATTGTGTGACTGCAATATTTGAAATGAACTTGTGAATACAAAACAAGATAATCAATTACCAATCGTTATACCGTGCACCACTGCGCACATAGCAATGTGCGCCCCGCGCCTTCCAAACCAACTTTGTTTTATTAAGTTGTGTGGGAGTTGACGCGACAGAGTGTATTGTATTCTGTTATATAATTATGTACATTATGTTATACAATTATGTACATTTTTTTATACAATTATGTACATTCGAAACAGGGAATTTTTTTAAAATTTAAAGTTTATGTGTATTATGTTAAGAATTTACATGTATTATGTATTATGTTAGATTATGTGTATTATCATTTCGAAAAAGAGTATATGTATTCTGTGATACAATTATGTATATTCTGTTATACAATTATGCACATTCTATTATACAATTATGTACATTTTCGAAACATGAGTTAACAGCCGACACGAAAAGCGGAATTTTCCAAAAAAAAAAAAAAAAAAAAAAAGAGTACAAAACGACGTCGTTTTGCACCAGGACGCACAATATAAATTGTCATCTATTACATAAATGTTAACATTGCGTATTCGTAGTATAAAAATTGTAAATTTTTAAAAGGTAAATTGTGAACATTTAAATCTAAATTAACTTTGCAAGGTAGACCCGAATCTACAGAATAATTTGCAGAAGAAGATCAGACGACGATGAAAAATGGGCCGGGAAACAGTCAATATTATTCTTTCCAACTAAAGGTTCCAAGTTTGAGAATAAGGTGGGATCCCTGGATCTAGTAGCCGGTGAATCACTGATCAAAGAGAAGATTTTGGAGAGATTCTTCATCGATCTAGTGGCCGATGAATCACTGATCAAAGAGCGAGCAGCCGCCAGGTTTAATGATTTGGTGGGATCTATAGATGTAGTGGCCGGTGAACCACTTCTTCTTCTTCCACAAAGATTCAGACAAAAGGTTCCAGGTTTGAGAATAAGGTGGGATCCCTGGATCTAGTAGCCGGTGAATCACTGATCAAAGAGCAGATTTTGGAGAGATTCTTCATCGATCTAGTGGCCGGTGAATCACTGATCAAAGAGCAAGTAGCCGCCAGGTTTAATGATTTGGTGGGATCTACAGATGTAGTGGCTGGTGAACCGCTTCTTCTTCTTCCACGAAGATTCAGACAAAAGGTTCCAGGTTTGAGAATAAGGTGGGATCCATGGATCTAGTAGCCGGTGAATCACTGATCAAAGAGCAGATTTTGGAGAGATTCTTCAACGATCTAGTGGCCGGTGAATCACTGATCAAAGAGCGAGCAGCCGCCAGGTTTAATGATTTGGTGGGATCTACAGATGTAGTGGCTGGTGAACCGCGAGTGGCCGGTGAATCACTGATCAAAGAGCGAGCAGCCGCCAGGTTTAATGATTTGGTGGGATCTACAGATGTAATGGCTGGTGAACCGCTTCTTCTTCTTCCACTTTAGACAAAATGTTGACAGCTTTTTTTTTTTGAATGCTACTGGCTCTATTACAATGTAGTATCTGTTCATATACTTTCTCAAAGTATACTGAAACACAAGGAACCAATAACACCTCCATTGAGGCTCAAACTCACAATCTTTCAAATGGAAGTCCAACCCGGGTACCATTAGACCACATAGTCTTGATTGTTGGATTTCTTAAGATTGATGTCTACTTGCACTGTCGAGTTAGAACAGCGAATTACTCCCTCTATTCCAATTTATGTGTCTTACTTACTATTCATTTGGTTAAATCAACTCTTTCTTTTTTTGTTTATTTTTTTATTTATTTTTAAATTTAATTTTTTGTATTTAATAGTACTTTTAATATAGTTTATAAATATATAAATTTTTTTGTACTGATACTAAACTTAAAATTATGAAAAGTTGAATTAAAAATAACTTTAGTCAAACTTCGTTAACCGAATCAGACATATAAAATGAGATGGAGGGAGTAATACAATATGACAATCATTCTTCCCAACAATATGACAATCATTGTTTCCAAAAGGTTGAATCCCCAACCCCAGAGACTCCACACCCCGACCCGACAAAGCATCGGTGAGAATGTAAATTATGGTAACTCAACTGAACATAGACGTTTACTTACAATATGACAATCGTTATTTGTGTGGATCATGGTCCACACAGTTGTGTGAACCATAGTTCAAAAACAAATAAAATACATTATTTTAACTAACAAAATACATTATTCTAACACATAAAATATATTATTCTAACTCATAAAATACGTTATCTTACCTCATAAATTTCATTATTCTAACACAAAAAGTACATTATATATTATTCTAACTCATAAAATACATTATTCTAACACATAAAGTACATTATTCTAACTCATAAAATACATTATCTTACCCCAAAATTTTCATTATTCCAACACATATAAAGTACATTATTTTAACACATAAAGTACATTATTAGAACTCATAAAATGCATTATCTTACCTAGAATGTTCATTATCCTAACACGTGCGCAGAGCAAGGAATTTTTTTAAACATCGAAACAACGTCGTTTTGGACTGTAGCCCACTCAATATGGTGTCTACTTGCACTATAGTATACACAATATGGTGGGGGTTAAAAAGCTGGCAAATTATGTTGTGCAACCGTGTGCACCACGGTTGCAAAAACGGTGTCGTTTTACTTTAAAAAAAAAAAATTATTTTCGATTGCCGTTAGTTACTAAACATATGTTCATAATTTTAGAATTTCACATTCTGAATGTATAGTTATGAAGTTATGGATGTGTAGTTATGCATGCATTTCTGAATGTATAGTTATGAAGTTATAATTTCACATTCTGAATGTATAGTTATGAATTTATGGATGTGTAGTTATGCAATTCTGATGTATAGTTATGGGTTATGGATGTGTAGTTATGCATGCAATTTTGAATGTGTAGTTATGAAGTTATGGATGTGTAGTTATGCAATTCTAAATGTATAGTTATGAAGTTATGGATGTGTAGTTATGCAATTCTGAATGTATAGTTATGAAGTTATCGATGTATATTTTAAATTATGCACAACATAATGCCGTTAACGGAATTCGAAACTAATTTTTTTTTTAAGTCGGACGTCAAAAGGACGTCGTTTCTACAACTGTGTGCACCATACATAATGCACACAATTGCACAGCATAACGCTCCTAAAAAGCTCGCTACTTTAGCGGGCCTAACAAAGGCCACTCGGCCTTAGAATGTGGGTTTTTGGCATCAAAATTTAAAATTTTTAAATTAATATAAAAAAGTGAATAAATGTATACTAATGTTAGTAATGCACGCACACTAGGTGTGTTTGACAGGGTGGAACGAGTTAAGCTTGTTTTGACAACTCTAACTAATAGCAGCCTAGCTTGTATTGTTAGATTATGAATGTAATAGTGTTTTTCTTTTTTTTTTTTCTTTTTTTTTTTGTTTTGTTTTGTTTTGTTTTGTTTTGTTTTTTTTTTTTTTGTTTTTTTTTATTTTTATTTTATTTGGGTTAGACCATGAGGTTTCTGAGTAGGCCTTACACTACTCAGACTATATTAGGAATGTAAAGTGCTGTCTATATTGAGTTTTCAATAGGAGAAGGGTTTTGAACACTTGACCTCTCTTAAGATATGAGAATGTATACTCACATAAACTAAAATGATTGATTTGATCGACTAACACCAAATTAGATGATGCAGGTGTTGTGTTTTAAGTAAAAATTCATATCTCTGTTACCATTTCAAATGGGTGGTTGCATGATTGAGCTCTGGTGATGGTGAGACATTGATTCTTTGGGCTTAAAAATTTGAGAAAGTATAAAACAGATATTACATTATAAAGAATAATGAGTGTTTTTAAAAAAGTAAAAAGCTAAACTAATAAAAAGATTTTACATTTATATTTCATATATATTATGCTCCATAATAACCACGTACTCTACATTTTTTTCCTGCCATTTAAAGTTCAATGTGACAATGTCTATATCGGAAGGAGTGGATGTGGCTTATTATTATTATATTTGAGATTTAATATACTAAGCTACCGTCCATAGATCACAGTACATTAGTACGTGTGATGGACAATTTTAAATATAATCCTCGCAAGTGCACGAGTCACTGTAGTAATAGTGTGCAAAGCAAGAGTCGATCATATAGGAAATTGATACTATGCAATTTAACAACTTAGAAAGAGTGAAAAGAGCGAATTCGATCAAAATAAAGTTTCAATTACGGTAAATTAAACCAAATGAAAACAACTCAGGAGAATATAATAATCAAAAATTAAGAAAACATAATTGACAATCAAGATGAATTAACTAAATGAAATTAAGGCAAAAAAACAATTGAATAATCACGGAACAAAATAGTAGAGAATAAAGACTAGAAACAAATAAATCAATTAACAACTCATTTTAAAATTAATAATTGAAAACAATTGCGCAGCGAGCACGGTCTAGCCTCTGTGGTTCATGTTCAGTTGAGTTACCATGATTTACATTATCCTGCATGCCAACACAATTAAGCAACTTCCAACAAGTATAGAGAAAATTAAGGAAATGAATGAGAACAAGGAACCAGAGATATGCTTTGCGCGGAATGAATTGGTGCTAACAAATTATTATCTAACAAATTGAAATATATAGTACCAAATAATTATCTAAACAAATGCTGCCAAATAATTTTCTAAACAAGTTACTGCCAGATAATTATCTAAACTAGTTGATGCCAGAAGAGATGACCGCCACCGCCGGAAATTAACTGCTGCACCAAAGAATTTAATTTGTGTTGCCAAAGGAGTTGCTGTAGAAATCAAACACCAATCCCAAGAATTAATTGCAGCTGCTTCCGGACTGATTGAAGAGAGCCGCCGAGAACGATTGCCCAGATGGGACCTGACCGCCGTCTAGAATCTGCTGCGATTCGAAACTACCGCACCAACGCCTCCGGAATTAGTCCGGAGCCAAATTGATGACCTCCTCCTTCGATTTTGCACCCATCTTATACCCCTCAGCCTCACCATTCTTCTGGCGCTATGATTCACGATCCGCATGATTCACTCTAACACTGCGCTAAAAGACCGCTTCTCCAACCTCCGCGTCGTTTGCAATAGCCGAAGAAGGTGTTGGAAATAATGAACCAAATTGATTTAATATCTCAAAATAATATTTATATATAAATACAAAAATATATAAAATATTATTGGATATATATATATATCCGAAATATATATATATATACACACCAATATATATAAAACGGACCCAAAGGTTATATATACATATATATCTACAAAAAAGATATACCAATATATATAAACCCAAAATTGGAACAAATAATCCTCCGATTATAAATTCAATTTAACGAAAAACAAATAGAGAGGAGGATTTTTGCTTAGAAGCATAATCCAAACCGAAACAATAAGGAGATTGGCTCGTGTTTGGGTATAGGGTTTTTAGCGCGAGTCAAGAGATCACTCTTTCCTTAAAACCTTATTTGCCACCTCCCAAAAGTGCTAGGAGCGTTGTGGCCTAGGTTTCCCAGGATAAAACGTGCTACGGTCCGACGTTTGAGCACCCAAACGAGCGAACCCGGCAAACTAGAGCAAAAGCCTTTAACACAGTTACAAAGAAGGGAATAGAAGCAGAGGTTTTGGAACTGGAAAAACGTGCAAGTGTGTATCTCTCTTGTTGTGTTCTATTCACTGTGTGAAAAATCAGCTATCCAACTCCCTTCTTATATAGGAGATGAAGGATCAATAGCATTCAAGTTGGCATTTAACAAATGATTTGTAACACCTGAAACAGCCACCATTAAGTGAAATTAAATTCAAATTTTAAAAATTAGAATTAATAGAAAATTAATTCCGTAACTGATGAATTTAATCCCACAAGTATCGTCCCAACTGTGTTACTGTCGGCCTCCTCTCGAGGAACTTTCGACCTCCTCTCATTCAAATTTTAAAAATTAGAATTAATAGAAAATTAATTCCGTAACGGATGAATTTAATCCCACAAGTATCGTCCCAGCTGTGTTACTTTCGGCCTACTCTCAACTAAGGCCCAATTTTCAAGTGACTTTGGAAAAATGATATCAAAAGTTAGCCCGCAAGGCCTACCAACTTAAGCTTAATCAAGCCTTTTTTATCTCAATTTGGGATATGATTTGCACCCCCCTTGCGCACAAGAGAGAGCCTCTATGTTATACAATTCAATAAGCCTCTAAATGACTCTTGTATAAATAGTGGGGAAAATCCTCTTCCCAAACCAATGTGGGACAAAAGTTCATTTTTTCCTTTCATTTTCCCAACTCAATGGGTCTACTTTGAGAATCAATATCTCATTCACCCATTATCCGTTTTGAGCGTACAATATATTAATCTCTTCGCCTCACTACGAAGAACCCGAATCCAATTTGACCCGACCCAAATCGGAATTGGACCCCACCGATAATTGTACTACAAAATAGCCACTTAAAATGTCATTTTAATGCTATTTTTCCAACAATGCCCCACATGAATGAAAATTTGATATTTCAGGGTATTTTGAAATCGGAAACAACTGTGTTCAAACAGTCGATCCCTGCATAGGATAGGTAAGGGGTGCCGCACCCTTTGAACCTTCCCTTGTGAATACATGTTTACTCTACTAGCTGTACGGTAAAACGCAATGTCTTTGAACCGATTGCCGTTTGTGTAGACGATGACATATCTCACATATAGGAACCTCCTAACCATGCTCTGTTCTCATGAGTGTGCCCATTTTGGTCGTGGGTCATCGTTCCTGGTTCTACGAGAGTTTCTAAAGAATTGTGCCCATCAATTCTCCTTTGAAGCGACCCTCACTTCTCTCTTACATAGGTGATTCTTTCTCGAGTATCCCGCATACACACATATGTCAACCGACATTCGAATCATTAAAGCATCAACGTGCTAGCCTCGTGCGAGAGTCACTGTTTCTAACGAGGAGTGGTAGGAAGTCCGAGACCCCCACAGTGACACGCTCCGTTCCATAATTTAGTTGTCCCATTGAACCTAGGTGCCAGCTAGGTTGGGTATCCACTATAGAACTTTTAGTTCAAGGGATTTAGACTCATTCCTCGTTCCAACTTCTCACAACCATTTGCTTACCCTCGGGTTAGCGAGTTAGCGGCCGCTACGTTATCTTTTGACATCACGTAGTCAATCGAGATAACATCGTTGTGTGAAATTGTTTAATGGTATTATGTCTATGACTTAAAAGTCTAGACTTACCATTCCATATCTAACTCTGTACTTAACCAATTTTGCCTTGACTATCGCAATGCACACAAATTGGAGGTATGAGTTTACCTCTAGGAACATTCCCGAAAAAATTGCATGGCCATTCGGCCTACTCGCTCGCGACACGAGTGTTAGGCTCTCAGCTTAGATCTCTTTATGGATCTTAGCTATCACAATTCATTTCGAGAATTTCTGTACAACCAACTGCATTGGCCTAATACGTAAACACATAGCCTTTAATGGATTTAGCATCCTTTGATATCACGTTAACGTGCTATACTTTCCGAGTACAGCTAGATATATCTCGTAGTGCAGTCCAAAGTCACGAGTATACCTTAAGTATCTCATAACTCTCAGTATTGCCTTCTAGTGCGTAGCACCAGGGTTACTCGTATGTCTACCGAGTTCGTTAACCGCAAAGGCAATATCTGGCCTAGTACAACCCATTTGATACAATTAAACTACCAATAATCTGAATGTATTCTGCGCGAGAAGTACAATCTTCGTGATTATTGGCTAGTTGTACGTTAGTATCTAACGATGTCCAAGCCACTTGATTATCATCCTTTACAAGGATTCAACCAACACAATGAGATTGGGTTAACACGAGACCATACGGTCTTCTCACGATTTTAATCTTGAAGATTAAATCTGCCAAACTCACACCTCTCATGTCAAATCTCGAATTTAACATGTTCCTAGTAGAATTGATCATTTGATCGTTACTACCCACGATGAGTTTATCGTGTATAAACAAACAATGATATCACCGTCTATCGTACGCAATACGTAGATCCCTTGGTCACTTTTATTTATACTAAACTCGTTGGTCATCATTGTATGATCAAACTAGCATGCCAAACACTAAGGCAATTGTTTCGAACCATACAATGATCTCACCAGTTACACACTTTCTTTTCACAGCGTGGAAGCACAAACCCTCAGGTCGTTCCATGTCTACTAAGAAACCGATACATCCATTTCAATAAACTTCCAAGTCAAGCTAAACAGCTCTGGCAAGTATCATCCTAATGGATTTCATTCTCATCACAAGAGAATATTTATATCGAAGTAACCGTGGCACTCTCGTTGTATGTAATCTACAATTACAAGCTTGCCCATTTTACTTCAATATAACCAACCGGTTTTATCTTCCGACGCATGATCCACTAAGATCCGAAGGTTTTACAACCCGAAGTAAGAACAACCAGTTCCAAGTATGATTCTTTAAGATAGAATCTACTTCACCTCGGTAGCCTCTCTCGGGTTGGTCCACCTGTAGAAGTCAACACTTCTACATACGTTCGAGGCTCGTTTCCTAACAACCATGTCAGAAAATCCAATTTATTTTCTAGTAAACAAGTTAGAATATGCACGTCACATCCTAGCATGTACGTCAGAAAATATGGACCAAAGGATTTTTCAATCCTAGCTCTCTTGCTACGTCTAGCATTGAGCTCGGGTTCTCTTTCATACCCTCCAACCACAGCTACGTCGAAAGTTCATTTCAACGTGCTAGGTCCTATATTGAACCTTCACAGAAATGTATCTTCTAAAGAACGATGAATTTCTTGATTCAATTTATCGTGTTCTTATGTACATCCATACTATAGGACTCGTGTACTAAGAACCACCACACACCTTTGGCAATCCCCCACATTTTAGGCATTAGTAGGAAAACTTCCTACGTACCCACAATTCGTAAGAATTTCATGCGGGTAACCTTATTTAAAAGTTACTAACTTGTCCAAAGTATTGTCTCACCCCACATACTTTGAGGTAGACCCGAACCTATCAACGTCTTGATATTTATGTCCGGCAACATTGTTCGATTGAGGTGAATACCGTGTCGTACGCTCGAGTACGATACAAATGCTTGCGCAGAAATCACCAATAGGTGTTTCATATTCACTACATCGATCGTTCGTAACCGCATTAATCCACGATTAATTTGATTTTTTTTTATTCTTATAAAGAATAACCATGTGCTACACGTTAGCACATCTCGTAGGTGTGAATGAGTCAGCACGTACGAATCCATTCGGTTTTGACCGAAAGGCCACAAACCCGAACCAGTGCTATAACACCCCGTGTTACGGACTTTAATCCCGGATTAATTATTTAATTAATTCCGTTAATAATAATTAAAAAGGATTTAATTTGGTTAGGATTCCCTCTAATTAATTAATGTGGTCCACCATAGACCGTGGACCCTTGCCTAAACTAGAGTCTTAAGCCTATTAGGAATAAATAGAGTAGACCTTTTACTAGTCAGATTCTAATTAGGAATCCCATACCTATATATCTGTTAGGGATAGAGAAAGTGGGCCTTTACTATTCAGATTCTGATTAGGATTCCTGATTCTATAAATAGGGGGTTAGAAAGCAATTAGAACCCTTACCACCCATAGTTATATTACACGAAATTATTCCCAAGAAATTCCCCACCACCAAGCCTAGGGAGATCAATCGGATGGAAATCTTAGGGAAGAACCTTAATAGCCAAGGGAGGATTAATTAAGGCTGAGAGGTAACCCGTGTCTCAACAAAACCTATTTTCCTTGCTATATCTTATTCATTGGCTCCTTTGATATATGATTTTGTGCTTGAGTCTTGATAGAGCTTTGCCTAGGATTTGTATTGTATTTATGTGATAATCTTGATGCTTATGTGATAATCTTGATGTTATGTGATGATCTTGATATTCTTGACACTATGATTAATTATATGAACGATCTCGTATTTTGATTGTGTCTAGAGCCCTAGGGTTATAACATGGATTTCGTATCATGATATTCTTGGTATGTTTGGGTGGGATTTTGCATGATCGGGTGTTGAGTCTAGCCTAGGACTTGTGTTTAGAACTTACATATAGAGTTTTTGATGTTCTTTTGGTTCCGGATGCTCCTGAACCGTTATATGATTGATGTTAGGTCCTGGCATGTTTAGGAATCGTGTTTGAATGTATTCGTTGTAATTCTTGTTTTAATTTCGTTAACTGAATACGTGGTGTGTCATTATGTCTTTGAATGTGTTTGGACATGGTTTCGGGTTCCATAAAGGATCCCACTGACCACCCGTTGCCCGCATTACTGTTCCAGCGGGCAGCCGGTGGGCGGTGGTCTACCCACCGGCCACCTGCTGGAATAGTAACCCGCCGCCGGCGGGTGGCTGGCGGGTGGTCCTCCACCCGCCACCTACTCGTTGGAATCCCGGCGTGGTTCGTGGTGTTTTCCCCATTTGATGTTTCCCCGTGCCCCGTTGTATCCCGTTTGTCGTGTATGAGTCTCGTTTGGTGTTTTAGGCATCGTTCTAGGATTTTATGTGTATTACGTGTCATTGTTGTTGTGTCTTGCTTGTTATGTGATTATGTGTTGATTAATTGATGATGATGAGTATTGTGGTCATTGCGCAATGCTTAGTGTGACTGATGATGATAATGATGATGATGATGAGATTGTGATTGGTGGAAAATAAACTGTTGGCGGTTGGCACCACTTGTGCCCGGTCATTGTACTAAAGGTACAGGGCATAGCGGTGACTGTGCTAAAGGCACACACCCACCTTCGATTAGCTTGCCGTTGAGCATGGGTCAGGTTATAAGTGCTGCGGTGTCATGTTAGAGCTACATGCGCTAACCCCTTGATATTGGCACTAGAGGTGTGGATCATTGAATAGCACTGTGGCACCATCTTGATATGTTGGTGGTTGAAAGGTAGGTTCGTCGGTGGGGGCATGTAGTTGCCCGGAGGCATAAGGGGTAGGAATATAAGGGTGGCCTAGAGGTATAGGTTGGAACTGATATAAGGATGGAGGGGAGTTATACGGTTGGAACTTGGTATAAGGTTGGAGGATGAATTGTGTGCTTTGTTGACTACTTGCTACCTGATTGTATTGAATGCCTTAGTTGCCTCTACTTGTTATTTGCATGCTTATCTGCCTGTTATGTCTTGCGTTGCATGTTTAGGGTGCCTATTAGTTCTCATGATTATTCTATGATATTGAGTCTGTTAATATGCCTTGAGTCTTGATCTTGGATTTAAACTAGAGTCTCGTAAGTATATATGTATTCCAGTTTCAAAATGAGTTTCTTATATCTACCTATATTGTACTTAACACGTTGGAGTGAGTTATCAGCATTATTCGCTGACAGTTGTTATACCGAATGTTTTTCAGGGACAGTGAGTAGCTTCGGAGCGTGCTAGTGGGTTCGTTAACTTAGTTTAGATAGTTCTAGCCTGGATGAGTTGCCTGCGTGCCTTGATTTGTATTTGGGTATTAGTTATGGCTTTTGCTTTGTTAGTTAGTTTAGCCTGTGCATCTGAGTTCTCCAGCTCAGATGTGGCATAGCACCCCAACCACTATATCTAGTTTATGCTCTGTTTGGGAATTAATAATAGAATTGCCTTTATTCCATAAGCTTTAAAAGTTTTAGAAATTAGGGGTGTTACAAGTGCTTCCGAAAATTGAAGCACGAATCAGTTCTTAGTAATGAAGCACGAAACATGCTACACAAAGCACGAATCATTGCTTCAACTTAAAGCGCTGACCTCAAAGCAATCTTCCATTGCTTTAAATTATAAACACACAACAACCTTTCGTTGCTTAATTTATAATTTCAGTGCTACTTAGCACTAGGATTATTAGTTAATTACACAATTAACCAAACCTCCTTTCGTGCTAATCACATAGCACTTTTACAATGCTAAATTTAATTACCCTTTTGCATAGTGCTGATTCGACATTTTGGACATCCAGTGCTGTTAAGCACCCCAATTAGCACTTCAACAATGCTAAATTTAATTAGCATTTTTTCGTTAAGCTCAAGCTTAATTTGACGTCCCAACAATTTGTCTCAAATTATATTTCATACTAGTATAATTCGGATTTTTGATCAAGATAATTATAACACAATTAACAAGAACAAATCAACCAAATTTCAGACTAGTTGAATCAAGCTTATATAATCGTACTCAGAATATTATTTAAAATATTCAACGATTGAGCTGCGACGCTCACGATTATATAACTATCCCAATTTTTGACAAATTGATTCTTGAAATCCTTATCGTTCTACATGAACCAGAACAGAAGTTCTTTATGGGATTTCAACATGTAACACGCTTATTACATTCCGTTCCTGCTGTTAAGCCATTTTAGCATTTTCCTCATAATGCTACGTGATGCTCAAAGCATCCTTATTGAATCTTTTATATATTAAAAATATCAAACAAGAATATTTTAAAATATACAAAGTTCAATACACACAAATGGAACAATTCATTTTATTCAATAATAAAATGTGTCACAAGGATACTACAACATTTATTCAAAATAAATAAATAGGAAAAATTACATTGGAAACACATTTCCTTATTTCTATCTCGTAGTAATCCTTCAACCCATGTGCTTTGTTCCATTTTTCAATTGTCCACTCCACGAAGGGTGGTCCATAGCGCACATCGGGGGTACCTCGGTTGTGACCTCACTCGTCCAACCATCCACATGTTTTAAACATATCGAAATTGTCCTCAACCTTTTCATCATGATGACGGTTCGCTTCATAGTGACATTTCTCCTTCTTCTCATAATCTTCTTGAAAGCTAAGCTTCCGCTTGCCTTTCCTTTGATTACAGTTGAAGTCATTGGTCACACTACAATAGTCCTCAGACCATGTAGTGGTCACATAAACACTGGATCCTTCGTGGCTTTCAGCCGATCCATTAGGCATCACAATAGGTACCACTTGTGTGTCATTAGCTACTAGTCTACCGGATCGTGAACTAAAGTTCTCCGGAGCACTATCGTGTGATTTAGCAACTCCCATGAAAACATCATTTCCAACGTTGCTGCCGTCAACCGGCATCACGGAGTCTGCAACATCGTTGCCGTTCCGACAATTTGAATGTGCACCAAGAGCAACATTCACAGATCCAATACTCTTGGAATCCATCGACTTGTTCATTATCAAAATTATAAGGTTTTAAGGTTGTTGGAAATAATGAACCAAATTGATTTAATATCCCAAAATAATACTTATATATACACACGAAAATATATAAAATATTATTGGATATATATCCGAAATATATATACACACCAATATATATAAAACGGACCCAAAGGTTATATATACATATATATCTACGAAAAAGACATACCAATATATATAAACCAAAAATTGTAACTAATAATCCTCAGATTATAAATCCAATTTAACGACAAAACAAATAGAGAGGAGGATTTTTGCTTAGAAGCATAATCCAAACTGAAAGAAGAAGGAGATTGGCTCGTGTTTGGGTATAGGGTTTTTAGCGCGAGTCAAGAGATCAGTCTTTCCTTAAAACCTTATTTGTCACCTCCCAAAAGTGCTAGGAACGTTGTGGCCTAGGTTTCCCACGATAAAACGAGCTACGGTTCGACGTTTGAGCACTCAAACAAGCGAACCCGGCTAACTAGAGTAAAAGTCTTGAACACAGTTACGCAAAGAAGGGAGTAGAAAAAGAGGTTTTGGAGCTGGAAAAACGTGCAAGTGTGTATCTCTCTTGCTGTGTTATATTCACAGTGTAAAAAATTTGTTGTCCAACTACCTTCTTATATAGGAGATGAAGGATCAATACCATTCAAGTTGGCATTTAACAAATGATTCGTAACACTTGAAACAACCACCATTAAGTGAGATTAAATTCAAATTTTAAAAATTGAAATTAATAGACAATTAATTACATAACGGATGAATTTTATCCCACAAGTATTGTCCCAGTGTTACTTTCGGCCTCCTATCGAGGAATCTTCGGCCTCGGCCCAACTTTCAAGTGAAAAATGATATCGAAAGTTAGCATGACTTAACCTGCAAGAGAGAGCCTCTATGTTATACAATTCAATAAGCCTTTAAAGGACTCTTGTATAAATAGTGGGGCAAATCCTCTTCCCAAACTAATGTGGGACAAAAGCTCATTTTTTCCTTCATTTTTCCAACTCAATGGGTCTACTTTGAGAATCAATATTTCATTCACCCATTATCCGTTTTGAGCGTACAATATATCAATCTCTTCGTCTCACTACAAAGAACTTGAATCCACTTTGACCCGACCCAAATCGAAAGTGGACCCCATCGATAATTGTACCAAAAATAGCTACTTAAAATTTCATTTTAGTGCTATTTTCCAACAGAAGCTGCGTCCCGATCTCTTCTCTCGTTCATTGGTTGACTGGTTGATCTGAACAACTGTACGCCATACAAAAGCTATGACTAATAATAATGATTATTCAAATAAATAAAACACATTTAAAAGCTAATTAAATTAGAGATCAATTATAATTAGTCTATATATGTTTATTAGTAATTCACTCGCGCGATGCACCGAAAAAAATGTTATTATAAATATAAATAAAAAATAGAAAAAATAAAAATATTTTAAATTGTTTAATATAATAATATTTTTGAGCTTCTATTGGTCAAGTATTTATTATTTTTATAGAATACAAAATTACAATTAAAATTAAAATTAAAATTTTGTATGGTTAATATAATCTCTAATTATGTACATATCAAATAAACTTATAGAGAGAATTTACATAATTTAATTGATTTATTCTTAATTGTATTTCATCTATATTATAATTTTCATAATACAAATACTAACTAAGATAATTACATTTAGATAGCAAATTTCAAATTTTGTATGAGTAAATTTAAACTCTAATTGAATACATTTTTTTATTTGATTATATAATATTATTCTTTATGCACATGTCATTCCATAAACCCAAATGTCCCAAGACCACTTTTTGTGGAGATAATTCAAATGGATTATTTTTTTTCTTTTAAAAGTCCTAAGTTTAGAAATCTAGAAAAACATTAAAGACCCATACGGTATATATATTTATATATTTAAATTTTTATTTATGGCTCAAATGATTTTTTTTTTTTTTTAAATTCTGAAGTCCAATAATTGACCCACGGCCCGCAACATTTGCTTTCTTCATTCCTTCTCGCTTCTGCCATTTCTTGAAGCATTTGAGAAGATAGAAAAGTACACTCCACAATCTCTACCTGTAGAAGGTGGTTCCTTAATGTCTGGCTCCATTTTTTTACCACTTTCCATGATTCTTCTCTTTTGTTTACTCCTTTTTTTTTTTTGGGTAGCTGTGATTGTTAGAGCCTCCTCTACATTCTACCGTCTTTTGTCTCCTCCGCTGCCATGGTCATGAAAATACACAAATGGTAGGACAAATTGCTGCAGTTTACGCTCATATGGATTTGATCTGGGGTGTTTTATAGGAGAAAAATTATATGTAGAGGCTTGCATTAATTGCACTGTTTCGGATATCGAATAGGCTTCCATCGAAAATTTAATTAATATTGTAATCCCAAAAAGCACCATAAATAACAAAAGCATATCAAATAGACTTTCATTGTAAAGCCAGAGATTTAATTAATATTGCATTGTTTCATATTTTCTATTAATCGGGAATCGGAATCCTTAATCATAATATCATAACATTTAATAACTCAATTAATTCAATAAATGTAATCCTTTGTTACGGGCGAGAAAAAATAGCTATTTTATTTTTCAAATGTTGTGTTTTTTTTTTCTTTTATAGTAAAGCTAAGGATGTTGTGAGTATTTTATAAAAATAAGGATAGAGATAATAATTGTAACAGTAATTGCTCATCAAAATAATAATTATAACATTAATTACTTCCCAAACCATATAGCTTTATTATAATTGAGATTAAAACTCCTATTGACCATATACTACTAAAACTATTATTATTATTAAATTATTAAGACCAAG